CGATTATTTAATTAAAATATAATTAGTATTGTAATAATTGGAAAAAAAAAAGGGAAAAAAGAAAACCCAGCAGAACCCGTAACCCCTCTAACCCTAATTATAATAGCGTGATTTATTAAGAGTTAGACTTAAAAGTGTCACATGTCAAAAATTTAGTGACGTCCGATTTATATTAAATATCGGCTCATCCGCTCAGAATTTAATCTCATAAACATATCATGAATTCACTATTTGGCAAGTGGCCACAAATCCGAAATATTCTGATATTTCCAAAATTTTGAAATTGAATGTGAAATAAGATTTGTACTTCTGAAAAAAATCATTTTTTTTTTTTTTGGTAAAAGGTTAAATTCAATATGTTCCATCCGACTTTAGGTATATCACAAAAATCATGGACATAAGAGTTACATATATTAAATTAAAAAAAAAAAAATCAGAAAGTAGTAGTATCAATTAATTAGTTGATACGTGGATAAAGTACCTACCTTCCTACCTCCAATTGAAGCCTATGATTGGTTGAAAAATACAGCACAACACATCAGAATATAAATTTGTAGATATGTGCTACCTTCAGCTAATTTCTGCTCCGGCCACCAGCACCGCCGCCGCCACCACCACCACCACTTCAATTTAAAACTACTCCTGTCAATCTCATATATATATATATATGAATGGGCAATGAAAACCTCCCCCTTCGATTCCCACACCAGCCAATATTGGAAGACCAGGCGCCGGAAAGAGAGCAGTCACCCCCCGCCGCCGCCGATGATGATCATCCGCCAGAAACAGCCAGGTGCGACTGGGATTTCAGCCTCTCCGCCGTGGTTTCTTCCGCCGCCTCTACCTCTTCCGACGCAATTGGTGTCGTCGAGTTCGACCAGAGCAACTCCTTCCTCGCCACCGGCGGCATCGCCAGAAAAATCAGGATTTACACCGCCCGGAAACTGCTCCCGTCGAGTGATCAGAATGGAGGTAGGACCGCCGCCGCTGCGTTTCTCGACCACGCCGCTGCATGCGACTACTACATGTGCACTCCGGCGAAGCTGAGCAGCCTGAAATGGAAACCCGGTTCGGGCTCCCGGGTCATCGGATCCGGCGACTACGACGGGGCGGTCATGGAGTACGACCTCGAGAAACGGGTCCCCGTATTCGAGCGCGATGAGCACGGAGGCAGGCGGGTCTGGAGCATGGACTACTCGCATTCGGATCCGAACCTCGGCGCATCCGGGTCGGACGACGGCACCATGCAGATGTGGGATACCCGTTCCGATGGGGGGAACTCTGTAGCGTCGGTTCGACCGAACCGGCTCGCTTCCAGCCCGGTTTGCTGCGTCGAGTTCAACCCGTTTGGCGGGCCACTCATAGGCGTCGGATGCGCCGACCGGAAAATCTACGGCTACGACGTGCGCAGAACGGCCGACCCGGTTTTCGTCCTGGACGGGCACCGGAAAGCCGTGACGTACACGAGATTCCTCGATTTGCGGACGATTGTTTCGTCGTCGGTCGACGGGTGTTTGATGATGTGGGCCACGGAGGATCGGCGCGTGATCAGAACGTACAGTGGACATTTGAACGGCCGGAGATTTGTCGGCTTATCTGTTTGGAGAAGCGGCGGATTGTTGAGCTGCGGCTCGGAAAACAATAGGGTTTTTGTGTATGAAAAGATGGGGCGAACCGATCTGGGTTCGGGGTTCGAACCACCGGCGGCAGCGGCGCAGCCGCCTCGCTGCGAGGGTGGGTTTGTGAGTAGCGTCTGCTGGCGGCAGAGCGGAGAAGAGGAGCGGTGCACGCTGGTGGCGGGTGGTTCCGATGGGGTGTTGCAAGTGTTCAATGGTGAAAAAAGGCCATGCTCGTAGAATTAAATAAATCTATATTTTATTTGGTAGGAATTTAATAAAAATTTATTGGAATTAGGGGGTGTGTTTGTTTAGCATTGTTCATTTTTAATACAAATGCACCAATATTAATTTCATGTTTTGTATTTTCTTTAAATTCTTAGCCCAATTTTAAAATACTAAATAACAATAGTTTATTTAAATTCTTGTTATATATTTGCAGCCATCATCGGAAGAGCGAAAAAATACAGTCGTTAATAGAAACTTGACCGCGTACAAATCTCGCACGATCAACTACGACGACGCCGAATGAGATACCAAGAATGGAGAAATATATGAGTTTGGATATATAGGAATAGAATGTAACACGGTACTGAACTGAATATATGCGCTGCATATATTTAATTTGTCGGAGTATATATTTTTTTTTGATTTTTTTGTTATGTACAAAACCTTATCCAACTACCCTTTCTATGTATGTGTCGATCTTATCCATTACTTACGTTATATTCTCTTACTGTTTTTATACTAGTAGGGAAAAAACTACAATTATACAACTACCGTCTCTATGTATAATGTATTCGAGTTTATACATGCATAATTTCATAATTTTATAAAAACACCTAAATTCTATAAAATATGAGGTTCCAAAATTTGAATATTTTTTTTAAAATTAAAAATATTTTTTATAATTAAAAAAAAAAAGGTACATAAAAAAGGTAAATGCGAGGATATATAAATTAAGTTTTTCACCAAGGGGGGCGGGCCCCTAAAATCTAGGGTGGTCCCAGATTCTATCTGTGTCGGAAAAACATGGAGATAAATCGCAGCTCTCCATCTTGTTCGAGTTGTCAACACACACACAAACGATTGTTTTATAAAATTAGAATGTAAAATAATGACAACTTGCTATAGGTTGGTGGTGGTGGTTACATATATAATATATATACGTATATATGTATATGTATACAATATGCAATCTGCATGAAAGACAGAAGTTGTGGCTGTTAAGGAAGCTTGCTGTCTTTATGGATAAGCAAGCTGCGCGCAGAGGGGATCTTTTATCTTTTAATTCAATTTTGTTTTTAAACCAATTTAATTTTATTATTGATAAGCAAGATTTACATTGGTTGGTTAATTACTGATCATAATTTAAATGTTTTCTTTATCTATTTAGGAAGATTATCTCTGATCGCTACCTATTTCCTCCATCGTCTTTTAAGTGTTCGGATGAAGTGGCGAGCTCGTTACCCGCATATCCCAGATGCATTATTTAGCGAGCTTGGCACTAACAAGCTTTTCTTCCGACAAGTTTCTAAAACCGTGGCTTCAATAAATTCATCTTGGCTCATATTTTTCTGTCCCCATCTTATTAGTAAGTCAAATATCGAGAATTCGGTCCAACCTTGCCGAACTGATCCCAAAACCCAAAAATGATTTTTTTTATAATAAATGTTATATTTCAAAATTTAATAAAATATATCAGTTTGTTTGGGAAAAAAAGAAAAGAAAATGTTTTTTCATTTGCCTTTAAAAGATAAAATATAATTTGCATTTTTTTATTAAATTAACTGAAATGTTAAATGTCGTTTCAATTTTACTAATATCGTTTTGACTTCGAATCTGATTTTCACATATTTCTATTTTGATTTTGGCAAAAATTTGAAACACGAAAATTGTAGTCCTTTGGGTTAGCTTTCTAATCCAACTTAAATCCGCTAGATTAGATACCGGGTGGCAAAGATGCATGAATGAGTCACATTTTGAATTTTAGATACCTCAATACATCAAAGTTGTTGGCAGTATCCATTGATTCATGTATATCTTTCTTGCCCGACATCCAATTTTGGTGATTCAAGTTAGATTAGAAAACTAACTCAGAATACTACAAATTCTATTTTTCAGATTTTGTAAAATTTTGAATTAAAAATGATCAAAATCACGTTTGAAATCGAAACGGTATTATTAACGCTCGAACGACATTTATCACATCCCGCTTAATCGATTAATGGGCCAAATTTTAACTTGCTGAACTCATCATACCATAGTGGACCTATATTTAACTAGAATATGCACATTTTTTTGGACCCGCTTAAATAAGTGGAAGCCCGATCCGAGATACTACTTAAATTAAAATGTTTTTTTAACTCTATTTAAATATTTGATTTATATTACTAAAAAATATAAATTTTGATTTATAGAAAAAAAAAGAAAAATAACGAAAAAAATAGGGAGCCACCTTATGATTACAATAATAAATTAGTTAAATTTCCTTCTTATGTATTTTGTTAGAAACAAAGGCACAAGATTTTTCTAATAAGCTAAAAGTTCGTCGCTCATCATTTTTATAAAAATACTCATGCATTTCGTTAATTATAAAACTATTTACGAACAATCGTTGGGTGCGTTGTGTACCCAAAGTTTAATGTCAAAAGTTCACCGCCGATATTTACTACAAATTCAACTAATCTTCATATGTTCATTGTCGATTAACAAGCAATTTCATAAATTCATTACCATATAGTATTGAAATACTCGATTTTCAAAACTCAAACTTCACCCGAATCTTTAGAAACTCATTTAAAAATTTAGAGGTTCGCTACTAAATTTCATAGGTTCACTGTCATATTTTGTGTTGAAATACTCAATTTTCAGAAGTTCATTGTCATATCTTGTGATAAAATATCCAACTTTCAGAAGTTCACTGCCAATTTTCAACTAATTGACGAAAATTTATTTGAAAATTAATTACTTTAGTTATTTGTAGTAACATATAGTAGTAACACATGCATGTGACTGTTTTTCGATATATATTTGTTGGTTACGAGTTTATTTATAATATAAATATTTAAATTGTTGGTGATGATTTTTTTTTATATATAATCAGTGATATTCGCTTGTGTATATAATTGTAGGCCACGATTTTGCGCTAAAAAGAAAGAGCATAACAAGAAATGGCTACAGTCGGCTATAATCATTTGTAGTCATTTTCAATACAATAAACATATCGAAAAAAAAAAATTATAATTACAAGATATATTTTTATTATTAGAAAAAATCAGCGAAAATAACAGATGCAGGTCCACAAATGTTTAAAGCAATTGACAAAAATACTAAATACATTTAGACGAAAATTGCGATATGTTAAATGAGCCCATATTTTTAATTAAAATAGAACTTACAAAGTTTAATTTAGATCCTACAAACTCCTTATAAAACCTAGGAAATATTATTTTGTCAATATATTTATTTATTCTACAGAAAAAACCGACTCCCTCAGTTCTGCAATTTCCTCCCGGTCGGCAAGTGGCAACCTGCAAATTTGCAATCGCCGGCGACTCCGTTCACGTCGATCGGCACTGAATTACACCGGAGATAAATTGAATACAAATAAAGAAAGAGGGAGTAATGGTGACATCGTCGGTGGTAAATACGTATCCTCTGTCAAGCTACACTTTCGGCACCAAAGAGCCGAAGATGGAGAAAGACACCTCCGTTGCCGATCGCCTTGCTCGCATGAAAATCAAGTTTGTGTTTTTTTTCTTTTTCCTTTTCTGTTTTCCCCCCAATTTTTTATTTTTTTATTACTTTGGTAAAACCCTACATCAGAGTAAGAAGTTTCACCTAGGGTTTTACTGACTGACCGGTAGAAAATTCGATTTGTGGTGGGTATTACTGAAATTCGTTTGGATTTTTCTGGTTGCAGCTACATGAAGGAAGGCATGAGGACTAGCGTTGAGGGTATTTTACTGGTATGAATTTTCCTCCTAAATTGGGCAATTGTTTAATATGTAAATTTGGTATTTTCACCTCATGAGAATGTTCTATTCGCATTCAAGTTTTAGGGGGGAAATGTATTTGTAACAGTTCAGAAATGCGTTGATTTGTTTAAAAGTATTATCTTTCAGTACATTGAATCAAAATTCAATCGGAGAAAAGCGGGAACGTAAGCCAAAATCAGCAAAAGACAGGATTTTCTTGATTTGGAAATCCAACCAAGTTATGGTTTCAGTTTATGAGTTTTTAAAATGCAATTCACTCATTATTTTTTCTTTTAAAACCAACCTTAAGAAAAAGTTTTGTATATCCGAACATAGAGTGTGCAGAATTATCTTTACTAGTATTTTCAAGTTGTATCATACTGAGAATGGCATGAAGCAGCGGGAATCTTGTTTGATTTGCTGAATTAGGTGCCATCTCTCGACCTTGAGTAACCTTGATTCTTAAAGTTAAACAATGTTCTTTATACTGCACCATCAATTGGCTATTCTCATTATCGTATTCAAGCACCTCTTCAGAAATGTTAGTAGAGTACTCAAAGACTTTTTTGTTTGGCTAAGTTAAATCAAAAGCAGGCAGAAGGGCCACTGCCATCTTGCTTTTTATGTTCATTTATTCCTACTCTGCTGTTTGTGTCCACGAAGAAACTTTCTCGATGATGAAACTGCAGTTTTATCTGTTTGGACCTTTGGTCTTATCCCTACCCGCCATTGCTTGCTTGCTTAGTTCATGATGTAGTTGTATGTGAAGTCATTTGACGTAGAGAGAAAAAAGAAGTAAAATGTTCTTATATGCATCCTTGTCATGCTGAAAAACTTGTTTTGTAGCTATCACGATTTAGTTGGTGAATTCTGTTATTTAGCGAGCTTATTTATCTCATGGTCATGGCTATAGAACATTGTCCATGTCTTGTCATCAATGTCCCGTTTGATAGGCTTGATTGGTCTTTGATATATCAACTAATCGAGGCCTATTTTTCGTTTTCGCATCTCCTAGTCATCACTAAATTGGCTGGTTTTCTCTGCATCTTGTCCCAAACGGGAACTGGGAAAAATATCCTGATACTCTGGCAATTTTTCTATTAATTATCGTCCTCTTAGGTATCAATCATGTTGTGTGATACCATACTTGAGAGTTGTTCGGAATATCATTGGTTTTGTAGTAATAGACTTTTTTGGCCCCAATTCTGTTGCTGCAATATTCTCGTTTTGTTGTCTGACGATGGCTAAATTTGTTACTTGAGTTCCTTTCTCAATCGTATCTTGCTATTAAGATTCCAGAACTGGGTGAGGGTATCAACCTCCATATTTCTTATGCATTTATACATGATTATAACGAATAATGATGCTGATTATAGGCCACATTATTTTTGTCTAACTGAAAAAACGTCTACACTTACAGGTACAAGAGCATAATCATCCCCATATTCTGCTTTTGCAAATTGGAAATACATTCTGTAAACTTCCAGGTGGTAGATTGAAGCCAGGAGAGAATGGTATGGTGTTTACTTACTTCTTTTGGGTCGTTGTTTTATGCCACGATAGTACTTGCTTATTATAGAAAACAAAACATAAAAGGAATATAAGATGAGCTGCCAATAACAAACTTCTATTCGACACATCTGAATAATTGCAGTTATCTTACTGTCTTTTTTTCTGAATACAACTCCGCAGAAATTGAAGGCTTGAAGAGGAAACTCTCTAGCAAACTTGCTGCTAATTCACCTTCTCTGCAGCCAGATTGGCAGGTAATATTTAAGGAAAGTTTGTTAATTTGAGGTGGAAATTTATCAGAGTTCAAGATGGGGGTATCGTTTGATACTCTGAAATTTATCTAGGCCAACCGAGGCTTAACATCAGGGGCAAATTATTGTTATTTATGATGTAAAGACATATATAATGGTTGCTTGGTACATCTGTCTAAAGAAAAGCCGAATTTCATGTCTTATTGGCCATTATTTTTTATTTTTATTTAATTAAGTTTTCTTGTTAAATATCAGTTGCAGAGATAAGTAGTTATGCCTGATGCAAAATTTTCATGCAGATTGGTGATTGTGTGGCAACCTGGTGGAGACCGAACTTTGAAACAACCATGTACCCTTACTGCCCTCCACACATAACCAAGGCTAAGGTAAGATATATCCCGACACATACATGAATAGATCGTCACAATATCAGTTGTCATGAAATAATGCTGACACCTGATTTTGACCTAATACAGGAATGCAAGAAGCTATACCTTGTTCACCTATCCGAGCGAGAGTATTTTGCTGTGCCAAAAAACTTGAAACTTCTTGCTGTTCCGTTGTTCGAACTGTATGACAACGTTCAGGTGTGTAAAGATTCAGCACTTACTATGATTTTTTCACATCCGTGTATGTGTATATGTATTAATAACCAGTGAAGTTTGTTCCTGTAATTTGTCTTATAATTACAGTTAAACACGTATCATTTATTCTGTTTTCCTTGTCAATTATCCGTTCGACTTTATGAATGTCTTTTCCCCAGTTTTTTTGCAAGCAGATGTTTCATGTTTTATGGTTCATGCAACGCTGACACACTCGTTTTTTTTTTTGTTGAATGTCAGAGATACGGTCCTGTTATATCGACAATCCCTCAGCAACTATCCAGGTTTCAGTTCAACATGATTCATCAGTAGATGTGTCCGAGATTGACGATCCCAAATTTTGAGGATGAGAGTTTCGATCTCTGGTTCACCATATCATTGACTGCGCTTTCTTCAACTTGTTTTCTGTTTTAAAACCTTGTTACGCTCACCACCTTTGACTTAGCTTTAGTTTCGACTTTCGTCTTATGCTTTTTTTTTTATACTTATTTTCTTGTATTATTATTATTATTAAGAAGTCTCTTTTTATTATCTTACTTTTTGAGTAGATAGCATCAATGTTATTTTTTCTCCTTTGAATCAGACCTAGGATTAATTGTCTATTGTCTTATTGAGGCATCAATGTTGTATTAAAAGCATATGCCTTTTAGTATTTGCTTTTAAAACATTAATTATTTAGATACAGTACTTGGTGTGGAAAAAATTAGATGCTGCCAGATTATTTTTCTTTCTTTTCAATATCTGACAGTATAGGCTTTTTTCTTTCTCTATTGACAGTCCTTTATTAAGAAATGGGGTAAAAAATAAATATTTTAGGAATTTTGGGTCAACCAAAACAGAGGTGTTCTCTTGGCCGGTAAACCCACCGTTCGGTATAGGGTATTGATGTCCTGTACCGGTAAACTGACCGTTCGGTATATGGTATTGATGACCGTATACCGTATAATACAGTATATCGTATCATACTAAATTCTGAAATAATTATTTTTTAATCTTACTTTAAATTCTTTAAGGTCATAACAAATTCTCAAATACGTTTAGATTGATAATTTTTTTTTCATTATTTATAAATTAGCCTTTATCGATAATCATTTTTTTCTTTTAGAGCTGATTATTGATATTTGAATGTCAAATTCAAGAATTAAGTAGTTTAAATATATTATTTTTCACATTTTAAAAATATACTTTCGGCTTTAATGGTACCGAACCAAAAAAATCAAATTAATTCGGTAAAAAATCGTGCCAAACTGAATAATTAAGTTCGATAAACTGTACAATTCGAAGTACTGAAATTTCGGTTTATCGAAACTCCGGTGCGGTAATGCCCAAATGAACACCCCTAAATGAAATATAAAACACTTTATTGGAGCCCGAAGGCGGAGGAGCTGGATGAATACACAATGTTGGGAAAATTTATATTTAAGTTAAAAAAAAAAATCATTCCTTTTCTAAATATTTTCAGAATTGGAACTGAAATTGAAATATTCGGTTATTTATGAATATGTTTTTTTCTTCATTTCAATCCATTTTTTTTTTAATAAATCGATAAATCAAATTTGGAATATAAGATACAAAAATCAATTTGTTCCAACTTTACATCTTAGTGTGAAGAGTGGTGTGATATATGCAACAAAAATCAAGAAAGATTGTTGGTAATGGTGGAAATATAAATAATATATATTATGGTGAAAGATTGAATTACATATTGCACAACCTGTTTAATTTAAAAAGTCAAGATATATATTATGGATAAAGTTTGAATAAATTAATACTATAGCCATGAAGCTTGCCTTTAATTTATAGTACAGGTAAAATAATACAAACAGTTGAATTATCACATATTACATGTGTTAGAATTTATTTCGTGCAGATATAAATTATTTGTGTCAGATTCAGTTTTTCGTTACTGTTGCGTGAAGTGTTGCAACAGTTCGTGAAGCAGTTCGTAAAAACAGTAATAAACGAGACACAAATTTTAATGTGGTTCGGATACAACTGTACCCTACATCCACGGGGACCTGCAAATAAAATTTACTAATTTTTAGTTTTACGAATACAATAATAGGACTTAATCAAAATACAAAGACTCCCTCTTTGTTGACGCCGTTCTTGTAAACTACGCTGAATTATAAATCTTTAATTTGCAGCACGTCCCTTGCTCCGCACGGTTGAACTCCCTTCAACGCTGAATCCCTCAGTCGGCGGATCGATCTCCTCCCGAGATCTATTTAAGCCCCTCTCCCGAAGAACCGATCTTCTTTTTGTATAGAAGAAGCAAACTTGTGATACTCCTTGAATCTTGGTGTCTTCACCACAAAGCCTTGAAGCCGATATATTTTCTATGAAAATCACGTATCACGATGGAACTATAAAAACGAGAGGAAAAAATATTTTCTCTTGAACTTCTCTCGATAAAAAGAATGCCCTAAACTACGTTCATGCTCCTTCTTTTATAGTCTGGGAAAACTCCTGTATTAGGTTACACAGAGTTAGAGACGTAGAAGGAATTATCTTTTTAAAAGATATGGAATAAGAAGAGTCCATGCCTTATTAAAATATTGCCATCCTAATCTAATGGAAATTCACATGCAAACATACAACCAATTAATGACAATAAAATATAAAAGATAATTAAGAAAATCTTTTACTTCTTGAAAAATCATACGCACACACAATGACTATTGGATAGTTTTGATGCACATAAACTCTTTTTGATTAATAAAATAGTTTCCTATATAAAAGAAACAATTAATGACAAATTAAAGAATTTAAGTAAACAAGGAGACTTCCCTTTTGTGTTTCACGGTACACATGACTTGTTGCACAAGTCTTTACTCATCCCTTGTTTATTAGAATCCAATTAGATTCTAACAATCTCCCCCTTTGTCATTTATTGATTCTAACATTTTCTCCCCCTGAGTAAAATGCCTGAAAATAAAACAATAGAGGATATAAGAAAAACAATTAAAAATAAAGATCGTCCTCAGCATTAAATGAACAACTCATCATCATCATATCTTTCAGCAACAAGAGTGGCATCAACTGCTGCAATAGTAAGTGCCACAGTTTCAGCAACTGTTCCAGCAGTATTGGCTTCGGCAGGTGGTTCACAACGGAGTCAGCTCCCCCTGCATGTGTATCTCTCTCTGTGAATGATCCTTAGGCAGCTCCTCTTGTAAATGCATTCATTCTTCCCCTTTGCTTACTCGGCTTGATAGACTTGGAAGGCGGTGGATGACAACGTAATAAATTATCCACGTGATAAAAAAACTCAGCAAATAACGTCTGCATTAGCTCCTCCTTTTATATTCTTGTGAAGACCTTAACCAATTAATGACAATAAACATCTCCATAGGTTTCCACTTGGTGTTGTGGACTTAGAATCCCACCGAGATTCTAACACTCTCACCCTTTGGCATTGATTGGTCAGAACATTTACTCCCCCTAAATATATGATACATGCATGAACAAGGGTCAGCAAATTCAGAATAACGTCTGCACATATAAACTGTTGCAACAGTTTATCAAACAGTTCACCAGATAGTGTAAACCGTAAATAAACCATAGTTCCAAAATAAAAGCAGATAATTCGTTCAGATAAGCACGAGATAAAATGATATGCAGCAGCAGAAACAACTTCTCTGCACAATGCTTATTATTTGTCCTATATTTCTGCCCAGCAACTGTCTGATGCACTGTAGCAACAGTTGTCGGAACTCCCCCTGTGTTCATGCCATCGTTACTGTTCTTTTCTCCCCCTTTCTGGGCAATCACCATGCATAGATAACGCAACATGGACTAATGATCTTGATGATTCAAGCAAGCTGTTCAAACACTTAACAAAAAGATCAAAACGAAGAGAGAATCTTGGAAGGAAGTGAGAAGAATCACTATACATAACGTGCACAGAAAATCACAAACTCACAAACTCAATACCACACGATAATTGCAATGCGAAAATCAAAGGATAGTGATATCAAATCCAACATTAAATAGCAAAGACTACAGACTTTGCCAAACTTCATAAGAAACGTGGAAATGTGAGGAGTAAGCCCAATCGATCCGGTTGCAACAAAAAAAATCAAATTTAACCGGCACATAAACAAAAATAAACAAAAATCCCGTCTCTCTCTCTCTTTTTTTTTTTTTTTTTTTTTTTTTTTTTAAATAATGCCTAATGCAGTACAAAAAGTAAACATGAGAAATAGACATGAGTGAAGAGACATATGTGAATAGGATACTGCATGGACAAACAAAACATATGGGATTTATCTTCACATTCACGATAAGCGCAATCCCCAAAAATCCGACTGCCAATGCAACCAATAAACTTAATAATCCCAAGTCAAACACAAAGATGCTCTTATTAGGTAGCGTACACACACGTCTAATGGTAGCTTTTTCCCATGAAAAACAGAGCAATTAAAAGGAACGAGATTATGTTGGTCGTGCAATGTGTAGTCCCCTGGGCTTTCTAATTGAGCTTTGTAGTAAGTGTTCGGTCAAGTGGTTTACTGGCTCGACTCAACTAGGCTTCGAACTATTCACTGACCATATATATAATTTATATTGGCCGTGCAATGTGTAGTTCCCTGGGCTTTCTAATTGAGCCTTGTAGCGAGCTTTCGGCCACGTGATTTACTGGCTCGACTCAAAAAGGCTTCGAACTGTTCACTGACCAAATGGTTGTAGATATATATATATATTAATAACAGTAGTTCAAGAGTAGCTTTCACTCATTAAAAGAGGCAGCTTTTCCCTATAAAAACATCCAACCATGACAAGACTATTCAGAGAAATAAATAAGTTGGAGCCTTTTAAGTAATCATTTTGGGAATTGGTGAAGTTCTACCCCCACAAAATTTAGAAGAACACGAAGTATCAAACTCACATTTGTCTCAATCATATGCAGTATGCTTAATGCAGGTCCTATATGAGATGCAAAAACATATGAAGTGTCCTACCACTAAAAGTTGCAAGTCTGGACACACAGACAGTTGCAACAGTTCATGCAACTGCATCAGATTAAACACCATAAATTCCCAGCGATTTTCGCAAGGAATCAAATCTCTGTGCATCAAGGGTTTTTGCAAAAGCATCAGTTAATTCATTCTCCGTTGCAACATAATCAATTGAGACAACCCCCTTTTCAACCAAGCCCCTTATGAAATGATGACAAATATCAGTAAGCTTAGTTCTTGAATGCTGAATAGGATTCATCGAATTATTTTTCGCACTCAAATTATCAAAATTCAGAAGATCAAGTTTCTTATGCCCCAATCCAATTTTGTCAACAGAACTGTTGGAACAGTTAGTACTATCATCACACGATTTTAAAGAAGTAATGGCAGGTAAACAATTAAGATCAGACTTCTTTACCCAGATTTTTTGTTGAGTTTTATTCACTAAATCAACCTTTATCTTGGGTTTTTGAGACGACACAAAAGTGTGATCAATTTTAGCGGAAAGTGGTGAGCAGGCCATTATTCTTTTAACCATTTTCAAGTACTTAAAACATCTGGGTCGTATATGACCAGCAACATGACAAAAATGACAAATAGGCACAAAACGTTTTCTTTGAAATGACTGTTTTGGCGCAACTGTCGCAACAGTCTGTGAAACAGTGCATTGTTTAACAAAATTGATTTTTCCTATTGGATATTCTTTCTGTTTCAAAGCATCATCAGATAGTTTATTACCCCTTACACCTAGATGACCATAGTTCGGCTGATTTGTTCTCAAAATTTCATTCAAGTTTACCTTACCTGTATTTAATTTTGAAATAGAATCTTGGGTTTTAGCAAATTTAGCCTTCAAACTATCTGTTTCTCTACTAGCAGAAATAACATTTTGTTCAAGAGTAGAAATTCTTACCTTCAATACTTTGTTTTCCTCAATTAGGACAAGCTTCTCTTTTTCTAAGAATTTATTCGACTCGCATACCTGAAGAAATTTTTCGTACATCCTTTCATAGCACTCCTTTAATTCTTCCAAGAATGACGCGTCATCATCGCTGTTGTTTTCTGAATCCCAATCATCACCTGCAAGATTTAACGGAGTTATTCTTTTATCAGATATTGAATGCAACTTATCATACCTAAGTTCTGTCTGAACAGTTTGTCCAACTGTTGCAACAGTTTCAGCGACAGTGTCTTTGCACTCGCTTATCTGAGTGGTTCCTTCGTAGGTCTCTTGTAGAACATCCCATGCCTCCTTTGCTGATTTGCACATTGATATCAATTTGAATTGTTCTTCATCGATACAACTCAAGATAGCATTGGTTGCCTTGGAATTATAATCTGCTTTTCGTACTTCTTCATCACTCCACTTCTGTTTTGGTGTTTGAATGATTTCGTATGACTCATTCATTGAGGTAGGAGGTGTCCAACCAATTAGAATCGCGCGCCAGGCCCATTCATCAATAGATTTGATGAACATCTTCATCCTTATTTGCCATCCTAATCTAATGGAAATTCACCCAAGACAGGTGGTAGGAATGCGCCTTCACGATGATTATTCATATCTGCACAAAAAAATAAAAAAATTAAATCCCAAAAACAATGACTATTGGATAGTTTTGATGCACATAAACTCTTTTTGATTAATAAAATAGTTTCCTATATAAAAGAAACAATTAATGACAAATTAAAGAATTTAAGTAAACAAGGAGACTTCCCTTTTGTGTTTCACGGTACACATGACTTGTTGCACAAGTCTTTACTCATCCCTTGTTTATTAGAATCCAATTAGATTCTAACAACATGGATCATGGCATGATCATCATCATGCCTTTATAGATAGATTACTCATTAGAGCGATTTTAGATTCTAATTGCAATAAGGCCAATTCTTACGATTACTTGCTTATAATTTCAAAATTTAAACTATGCACCAGCAAACGATTTAAAAAAAAAAAAAAAAAAAAAAATATATACTTAGCATATGTTTGAAACATCTACAGTAAAACCTCTATAAATCAATACAATTGTAAATAGCAAAATTCTATTAATTTAGCGAAATTCTAAATTATTCGACTAATAGTTTAGTACGTTTTTACCTAGTCGAGACCAAAAAAAATTATTATTTAATTTATCGAAGTTATACCGTAGTATATTTAGGATTCGGTTGCATGGAAAAGAGGAGGATTGTGGTAATCTTATCATATTTACTCTATTATGAGCATATTATTCAGTATGATAAGTATATAAATAAATAATTGATCGAAAAATGAAAAAAAGAAATAATATATATATATATATATATATATTATATATATTCTGTATATGCGTCAGCAAGAAAATCACAATCTTTTGTCATCTTTCAGACAGGTACATGAAACAAAAAAGGTACCCATGAAATCAGCTCATAAACCAAAGATCCATAACAACACACCAACACTCAAATTAATTAAAAACCCTCTCTCTCTCTCTCTCTCTCTCTCTCTCACTTCACACACTTCCTTCTCCATTTCCGCCTCTTCGTTTTTCTGCTGTGGTAACTGGTAAGCCCTTTTGGCCCCTCTCTCGCTCTCTCTCTCTCTCTCTAACTCTTAACACTCATGTGTGTCTGTTTATCGGTGTGTAATACTACATAAATCATGTATATATGAATGTGCTTCCGCTGTTCCTTGTGTCTGTGTGTGTGTGTGTGTGTGTGTGTGTGTAGAATCTTGGACAAGTGAGTTGAAATAGTTTCAGTTTTACTGAATGCAGTTCTTGGTTTTCTGGGTGTTTATTTTTATTTTTTTTTTATTTTTCTGGGCTGGTTTTATTTTTTCTGCTTTTTGGAAGAAGTTATTGTGGGCTGTGGTGGTCAAAGATTGGATTTTTATCACTACAATGAACTAGGGGTTTTTTTTTTTTTTTTTTATAATAGAAATGAAAATATGTGGCAGAGAAGTAAATTGTGAAGAGGGGGGGAGAGTACACAAGGTCATAAATAAATGCTTGGGACATAGATGGATTAATGAAGGCAAAATATTTGGAAAAATTATAAATTAAAGGGGGCCAAGATTGGTCTTGGATGTCTGTGAAATGCCTTCCTTTATTGTGTTTATTATCCCCCCCCATGCATTTACTCTTTCAGATTCTTTTCTCTCTCTAAGAATTATTTATTTGATATTTTGTGCAGTTTCTTGAAAAGAATGGGGAAGATGAGAGAGAATGTGGAGGAGGGTGATAATAAGAAGAAGAAAAGAAAGGGAAGAATTGCTTGTTGTGAAAAAGATGGAGTCAGAAGAGGAGCTTGGACCAATGAAGAAGACAAGATTCTTGTTGATTTCATCTCTCTTCATGGCCACGGCACTTGGCGAAATCTCCCTCAACTCGCCGGTTCTTCTCCCTTTCTTTCCCTTTTTCACTTTCGATTGAATCGTATACACGATTACTTCACTTGCTAAAAAAACCGGGACACTTTTTCGATTTCCCAATTGTGATATGTTTAGTTAAGATTTCGCAATTAATTATTACAGGTCTCCTTCGGTGTGGAAAGAGCTGCCGTCTACGCTGGAATAACTATCTCCGACCGGACATTAAGCGGGGCCCGTTTTCACCCGATGAGGAGAACACAATCACTCGTCTTCAATCCACCCTCGGTAACAAGTATAAATTCTTCTCCTTCCCTTTAACAAAATTCAATTCACTTTCTTGATTCTTTTAACTGATTTTGATTCATTCTCAGATGGGCTGCAATAGCCTCCCATTTACCCGGAAGAACGGACAACGACATCAAGAATTTCTGGAACTCCCATCTCAGGAAATCGCTCGCCCACGCATCGTCTAAGTCGGGCGGCGACACGTCTCTGTCACAGCCCTGTCACTCTAGCACCACCACCACCCCACCGCTCTTTCTCCAAACGCCACCTGGCGGCAGTACTACTACTACTACTAACCACCCCGGAGGCGATTACTTCATACGCCTCTGGAATTCGGAAATCGGAGAATCGTTTCGAGACGGAGCAACTGTATTGTCCCACAGTCACAGTCCGGCATCACAAGCGTCGAATGTGGGACTCTTGAGCTGTAAGAAGGAACTGGGGGATGACGACGACGTGGCGGCTTGTTATTCGTCGAAATCGTACGAGGAGTTGGATGATTCGTCGGAAGCGATGCTGAAGCTGCTGCTCGACTTTCCGGTGGGTGGGGACGATATGGAGTTCCTTCAGGGTCCCGTCGGCGATGCCTTGAATTCTTCACATAGTTGACAAAAGCTCACTTTCTTGATTCTCGTGTTATAATTAGCTGCTTTTAGTGGTAGGTAATTAGTTCAGTGTGCATAGCAGTTGGGGGAGGAAAACCTAATTTTATTGCTTTCTTAATCCATATAATACATTAGAAAAGCTACTAATTTTCTTTCTTTCTTCACACCCCCTGCTTTAGGGGTGGAAATCAGACAAATCGGATTAGATTTAGCACTTTCGAAAAAAAAAAAAAAAAAACCCTGATGTGTAAGCCTGATTCCAATTCCCTTCCTACAAAAATCGGATACTGGAACTATAAAACTTGTTCGAAAATTGAAAATTTCCGACTCGGAATCAGCGGAATTTGAAAATTCGCAAATAAAAATGCAATCTTTTTGTGCTAAAAGAACCCATAATACAAGCAATTAATCAAATCTTGCAAATTTCCAAACATGAATATCTTGTTTCCACAAATACATACAGAGGTGTGTATCTATAAACAAATACAGCAATCATTCTATGCACACATACACTACTGACTGACTCACAAAACAAATATCAAATTTTACACCAAATCACCCACACAAAACACAAATCTGAAATCAAATAGATGTATATATATATGTCCTAAATGGAATAAAAAATATGTTAAAACAATAATGCAAACTTCAGTTTAAAATCAGGACTTTTCATTTTTTTCAGAAAAAGCCAAGTAATTTCTTCGGTGCAGTTCCGGTTGCACGATATTTCGCCGCGATTTCCTCCGCCTTGAGAAGATCTTCGCCGCGTCTAGCTTCCACCATCGCTCGTTTCTCTTCGGCCGCCTTGTGCACCATAGCTACCTTGTTCTTCATTTTCTCTACATATTCTGCTTTCTTTTTCTCCAATTTTTCCTATACAGCAAGAATATTTAAACCACATTTAAAGGCTATTATAATTTCAATTTCTTCTTTTGACGAAAAAGATCAAAAATTTAAATTTTGTTACCTCAATTTTCTTAAGCTCAGCCTCTATATTAGCCTTCTTGCTGTTCTCCCATGCTGCTACAGCAGATACTTTCTTCTGTGCCCTGTTACAAAAATTAGTTGATACTGAGTTCGTCTCTCGATTTATAAATTCCGATTCTTTAAAGCTTACAATCTGAATACGAGCTCGAGGCCGATTCATTTATCGAAAAGTAATAAAAATATTCTGAAAAATGTAAAAAATACTACTTGATACTTGATACTGGAGTTCGTCTCTCGATTTATAAATTCCGATTCTTTAAAACATACAATCTGAATACGGACTCGATGTCGATTCAATTATCGAAAACCGATTCAAGAAAAAAACAATAGAATGAACAGAGTAGCAGGATCAAGAAAGCAACTCACTTGTTCTCGGCTTTCGACTTCTCGCTTTCTTCCCATGCTTGAATTAAAGACAATCTCTTTTCGGTTGCTACTCGAGCAAGCACGACGTCTGCGAAAAAATACTCGAATAATTCAATTCAATTCAATTCAATCTTTTTTATAATTATATTTTTTTCCAATTCAATTCATTCAGTTATATAACAATTCTACAAAAAAAAAATGAAAATTAATACCTCTATCATGAGGGGCCTCTGCTTTCTTTTCCTCAACTTCTTCGCATTCTTTAGCAATACATACAGTTTACACACAAGTTAGCCAAATTGAACTCTAAATTCACCTAAATAATTATTTTTTTAAATAAATTTAATATATATATATATATATATATATATATATATATATATATATATATATAGAGAGAGAGAGAGAGAGAGAGAGAGAGAAACAACAGGAAAGATGGAGTGGAAAGGTGAAATTACTTTCAACAACAACAATAGCCTTGCTGTCATCGGGCTTCTCTTCAGCGGGAGGTGGGATGACGGTTTTCTCCTCAACCGGCTCCGCCGCCGGAGGATCCGACGGTGGTGGCGGCGGCGGAGGGTCGGAGCAGGGCTCGGGCTCATCGATAACCTTCTTGGGTTGGTCCTCAGCCATGACTTCGGAAAACTTAGCTATATTTGCTGAAGAGAGAGAAGAATTGGAGGAATGAAAGGAGGATATCAACAGTGGGAAACTCTATATAGGAGATATTATTATTGAGTGTGTGTGTGTGTGTGAGAGAGAAAGAGAGATAATTTTAGAGAGAGAAAATAGTTGGAGGAAGAAGGTAAAAGTGTCGCTTGGAATTGTACAAGAGAAAAAAAAGTGGGGAGCTGGATGATTGTTACAGATAATGTGTTTGCCCTATGATTCTGAGTTGG